CTCTACAGATATGATGTACATTTCTCCACTTCCATGCCTTTGCTCATACCAGTTCCTTTGCTTCAAATGACCTTCCCCAACCAAGCTGATTAATCAATGTTTGAGGCCAATTGTAAACAGCATGCATTTCACACTTGTAAACTAAAAACTGCCGTTTACTGCTCACTAATTTTATATAGCAGATGCTCATTTAATTCTTACAACAAACCTATAAGATAGGCGTGTGTATGCCCATTTTATACATAAAGAAAATGTATAAACTCTCTCTGTTTATACAGAGAGAGTTTAAGTATAAAGTCACAGTCTGGATGCAGAATCTCTCCTTTTTATTTTTTCTTTTGAGACACAGTTTCGCTCTTTGTTGCCCAGGTTGGGGTGCAATGGTGCAATCTCAGCTCACTGCAACCTCTGCCTCCCGAGTTCAAGGGATTCTCCTTTCTCAGCCTCCCAAGTAGCTGGGATTATAGCCGTGCACCACCACACCTGGCTAATTTTTGTATTTTAAGTAGAGACTGGGTTTCACCATATTGGTCAGACTGTTCTAGAACTCCTGACCTCAGGTGATCCAACCGCCTCAGCCTCTCAAAGTGCTGGGATTACAGGTGTGAGCCACCGTGCCCAGCTGCAGTCTCTTAACAACACACTGGACAGCTTTTTTTTTATCTGCTTCCTAAATTTAACAGTCAACTCCCAGAGCACAGAGTCGATCTTACTCATCTCTGACTCCACTGCAGCCCCCAACACACAGCCTATCACAAAGGAGCCTTGATGACTACCTGTGGAATTAAATCACCAACAAACACAAAACACACATGAGACACGTGTGTCTACCTCTCTGTAAGCACACACATTACGACTAGCTTCCTATTTTTCTCCTGAGCAAATAGTATACGCCTGACAGTGTCCTAAACACCTGCACCATCACTCCACCTGAGGACTCACACACATGCCTGCACATCCCTTCCTCTTTGATCACTTTTCAGCCCCTTCTCCACACACACAGGTGACATGAGTAAACACTGACATGCAAATCATGGCAAGATCCCAGTCTACTCTATCCCAGCTTTGGCAGACAATCAGCAACAGGAGACAGACTCGGCCACCCCTGCTGAGCTCTGTCTTCAATTATGTGTGGCCAGATCCCTGAGAGAGAGAGGGGAAAAAAGCAAATTTCCTGGCATGGAAGTTCTCCATCAATGGGTAAGCCCAGACCCTGGGAAAGCAGGAGGGATTCCAAAGGATGCACAAATCCGTATGCACACCAAACATGAAGGCAGATTGAAACATCTTGCATATAAAGCTAAAACCATTTTTCTAATGTATATTTTATTAACCACAATGGCAAATATAACATCAAAGGCATCTAAAGGCTTTTCCAAATTCACAGTAGCTTTGAGTCATTTATACTCACACTAAACAGATACAAAAATAACTACTTTGGAAGGGGTACTGTGAATTACTGACTTTTAAAAATGTCCTCAATCTCAGAAAGAGTTGGAAACCACTCACAGTAGAGATGATGAGTGACTGTAACTCCAGGGAAGCCTGAGGATTCTGACCACTAGAGCAGTCTCAGAGATCAAGAGCCAGGCCTGTTCCCCTTAAAGTCTTACTTCCCCATCCCAATACCCAACAATGGGAGCCCATGCCTTTCCTCCTTGACTGGATGAGAAAGTACTCGACGTATAATGAGCACAGGATATTATAAACGCTACCTAGGAAATAAGGAACAAATAGAAAAAGAAATGAGGTTGCAGAGTGGGGAGAGAAAAGAAGGGAAGCAGTAGGGTTGTTGCTGTGCCTATCATCTCCAGAGGCAATCAGTGCTTACAACTCCCATGCCCACCCACAACATATATCTGAAAATATACACATACATGTTTTCATATGTACATACAGCTTTGCCCCAAGCCTTTATTCTCTCAATTACTTATTAATATCTCTTATTCATTCGACAGATCTTTATCGAACACCCACTAAATGCCTAGTAACACATTAGGTGCTGGGAATACAGAAATGAATAAAGACACAACCCTCCCATTTTACCACAAAGCACTGCTCTCTCAACAGATACCACACACATGTCACACACATACCACATATACAAAGGCAACCCTGCCTCTACCAGCTGGCATCCACTTTCCCTTTTCTTTTTTCTTTTTTTTTTTTTTTTTTTTTTTGAGATGGAGTCTTGCTCTGTTGCCCAGGCTGGAATACAGTGGCACCATCTCAGCTCACTACAAGCTCCACCTCCCAGGTTCAAGTGATTCTCCTGCCTCAGCTTCCCAAGTAGCAGGGGTTACAGGCATGTGCCAACACACCTGGCTGGTTTGTGTATTTTTAGCAGAGACAGGGTTTCACCATGTTGGCCAGGCTGGTCTCAAACTCCTAACCTCAAATGATCTGCCTGCTTCAGCTCCCAAAGCGCTGGGATTACAGGCGTGAGCCACTCCACCTGGCTCACATTCCCTTTTCTTACATTAATCTCACACACATGCACACGCGCGCATAAAATGCATCAGATACACATATTCAACCATCTCTCACGGCTTCACCACAGCTGATACAAACATTCACCAAGCCATATTATACACACATCCATCCCTCTCACACAGTTACCCAAACACATCTTAAACACACAACCACACAACCGGTATTCAGGAGCATGCACCTTGTTTGGCTCACTGGAAGCCTCTGGCCAGCGAATCCTCTCAGAGAATGGATACAAGGGCTCTGGTTGACCAGGGTGTCTCTGGCTGCAATTTTCATACACCCAAGACCAATTCAGCCACAGTGAGACCAGGGGCCAGTTACCCTAACCGCTCAAAGCTCGAACTCTCCCTCCATCGAATTAGAGGGATGGTTCATCCTGTTCTCGTAGGCAGGTTTTGGGAGAAAGACAGAGGAACCAGCGGATCAAATTAAGGTTCTGGAAAGAAAAAGTCCTCATACATTCCAGCTGTCTTACTGAGGCCTCACGTTAAAACAGAGGCACATGCGCAGACACCGTCATGCTCGGGAACTACTCACTCTACTAGGCACTCGGCTCCCGTCTGCAGACGCTGCTATTCAAACAGACCCGTTCACACAGCCAATACACAGTGCCAGACTGCCGGCCTCTACACACAGGCAAACACACAGACACAGAATTTCACAGTTTAGGAAACACCTGAACTCCTTGGAGAAAGGGTGAGAAGGTGTCAGCTTAACTAAAGACGCACAGTTCCTGATGACATATCCCACAACCTTGTACCGATTACCCCACGAAAACAATCCCCAGACCTTTCGGGGGTATTTGTCGATCACAACTACAGATCCGGGGGGCAAACGACTCTCCAAAGCGCAGGCTTCCCACACCCAGGGCCCCACCTGCAGGGTGTCCACAGGCACCAGCCACAGGACACCTGTCCCCAGAGCAGTCCCGGGCCACGTTCGTTTTGCAGGCGCACACGTGCACATGCACACACTCCCTCTAAAGCCTGTGCCTCTGGGAAGACAGACACACACACACACACACACACACACACACACAGACACACACACACACACACACACACACACAACCGCTGAGCGGCCCACAACTCCTAGCGGGGCGAGGGGAGTGGCCCACAGCTCCAGGGGCCTGAGGCACACACGGGCTGGAAAAACAGGGAAGCGGGGCCGAGAGACGCGCTGGGGGACCCCCCTCCCCAGCGCCCAACCAGACCCTCGTGGAAGAGGCTCCTCCGAGCCCCTCCTTCCCTCAGCCCCTGACACGCAGCCGGCCCGGGCCGCGCTCCACCGCTTCACCCTCCGGGCCAGACTCTCGGCCTCGGGCACCTCCCTCCGGCGAGCCTCCCTGCCCAGCGCCATTCCATACTCAGCCCCACAGCCCGGGTCCCACCCCGCCCCGTCCAGCCCACCAATCTCCCACCAATCTCAGGGGCTCCATGCCCGGTCTGTCATCGGGAGACACTTATCCGCCATCTCCGCCCCTCACCCAAACCGTCCGCTCCGCGTCAGGAACCTGAGAAGCCTCAGCCACCCTCTCCCTGGGTTTCCCTTTACTCTCGGAGGCGCTCTGAGGATTCCGTGGTGAAAAAGCAGCACTCGCTTCCTGCCCACAGCCTCTCAATCCCCATTCTCCCTCGCCTGCCCCGGAATCCCCATCGGGCCCTTCTCCTCACACTCGGCGTCCTCACACCTAGGCCCTCATCCCTCTGCGCTTGCCCAGGCCGCATTTCCCGCCCGCCGCGGGCGGACCCTCACAGACTGCCGCCCACTGTCCACCACGCCCCCTTTCCGAAGGCCCTGCCACACGGCCCCGCCCCCTGCCTCGTGGGCCCCGCCCACACCGGTCTTTCCACACAGGCCCCACTCACAGCCCCTGACGGTCCCACACCGGGTCGAACCCCTGTCTCGCAGACCCCGCCCACACTGGCGTTCCACACAGGCGCCACTCAGCCCCTCGCGGTCTCACGCGGGGCCCCGCCTCCTTCTCGTAGGCCCCGCCCACACTGGCCTTTCCATGCCGGCCCCACTCACAGCCCCTCACGGCCTCATACGAGGTCCCGCCCCCTGTCTCATAGCCCCACCCACTGCCCTTCAGGGGCCTCATGGTCCCCGCCCACTGCCTCTAATGGGCCCCATCCACGCAGACCTCACCCACAAACCTTCACCAGCGCCTCACAGCCCCTCACCCACCAGGCCCACGGGGCTTCATGCGCCCTACTCTCAGCAGCCCCTTCAGAACCTGACCACACAGGCTGCCCGCAGGTAGCCTCTGGACTCACACTGACCACGCCCGCGCCGGCCACGCCCGCTCGCCCCGCCCACCGCCAACCCCACGAGCGCCGTCGCCCGGACACGCGTCCCCGCCGCCCTGGCGCTCTCGCACCCACTCACAAGTCCTCGCGGCTAGCCCCCCGGCCTCAGGCACCCCCGCAGGCCCCGAGCCCCACGGGGCGCCCCGGGACCTCACCCCCGCGCCCAGGCGCTGGCGGCCGCTCTCCGGGGCTCACCTTCGCTGCAGAACTTGCCGCCGAAGCCCGTGTGGCTGCAGTCGCAGCCCACCTCGCCGGGGGCCAGCACGGTGCAGAGGCCGCCGTTGGCGCAGGGGTTGCGCGCGGGCGCGCACAGCGGGTCGGCGGCGGCGCCGCGCAGGCCCTGGCTGCCCAGCAGCGCGGGGGGCCGTTCGCCCAGCTTCAGGTTGGCCAAGAGGCCGCGGAAGGGCGGCTCGTACTTGACGGTGCTCAGCGTGAGCGCCGAGAGGCGCACGTCCGGCGGGATGCCGCCCACGAACAGGTCGCTGGCCACCTGCATCTCGCGCCGCTTGGAGCGCACCTCGGCGGCGCGGGCCTCGCCGTCCACCGCCAGCGCCGTCCGGCGTGCGTCGCGGGTCAGCAGCACCATGTGCCAGCGGTCGTCGGCCACCGGCGTGTCCAGCTGCAGCGTGGCCGGCTCGGCGCAGGACAGCGTGAAGCGCAGCCGCAGGCGCCCGTCCACCAGCAGCAGCTCCAGGAAGTCGCAGTCGCCGCCGTCGTCCAGGTAGAGCAGCAGCGCGCGCGTGGCGTTGGTGCGCAGGCTGAAGCTGAGCTCGCCGCTGCTCGCCGCGCCCGCCCAGCGCGCGTAGCGAGCCCACTGCCCTGGGCCGCCGCCGAACTCCAGGCCGTCCGCGCGCGCCGCCAGCACCAGCAGCAGCAGCAGCAGCGGCGGCCGCCACCGGCTCCCGGGCGCCATACCTCCGGCGGCCCCGGCCCCGCCCGGCCCCCGGCCCCCGCTCAGGCTTCAGAGCCGCGGGCGCATGGGGCGGGAGGGGCCCGGGCGTTCCCCGCGACGAGCGGGGCTCCCTCGCCGGCTCACAGTGCCATGGGCCCGGCTGCGGGGCGAGGCGCGCAGAGGCCCAGGCGCCGGCTTCCCTCGGGCGGCGGCGGCAGCGCCCCTCCCCCGCCGCGGGCTCCGACGAACGAGCGGGGAAGGATGCCTGCGGGAGAACAGAGAGGAAGGGGTTAATGAGGGGCTCCAAGGGGCTGTCGGTGCTGGGCTCCCCCCTCATACCAGCAGGCACCCGAGCTATTCCCCTGCAGAACTTAGGCCCTGACCTGGAGAGGGTCCCGAGGCAAAAGACACGGACTCCGGGGGCCAGCACTTGGGAGAGATGGCACGCAGTAGGAGCAGCAGTGGTTCGAGATGTGGACAGCGGAGAAGGTGACATGTTCGAGCCCGGTAGGAGCCCAACCCAGCTGCCCGCGGCCTCACCCTCTCAAAGGACCCGGGTGTCAGGACCAAGGCCAGCTCTTTGGGCGAGGCCTAGGAACTCTGCTCCGCCTAATGACCCCAGGCCCTTCTCCGAACCGCCCAACCTCTAGGCCTGGCTCCCACCACCAGCCACGGTTCCTCTCATCAGCTCTTCATACTGGATAATGAAGTTGCTAAATAATTCATTGGGATTAATTAAATGCCAATTCGTCAATAGTATCACAGGGCAACCAGACTGGGAAGGGGACAAGGGAAAGAAGCCAGCCAGGACCCAGATACCCAGACCCCAAGCCCTATCCATCCAAGCAGGGACACAGGCATCCAGTTCTGTCTCTAGTTCCCCTAAAACCACGCTCATCCCTTCCAAGACCCCAGCCTCACCAGGCCAGGTCCTTTCTGAAGCTAAATGTCTGTCATTCCTCAACTTCCAGCTCCCAGCCCTTAGCCTCAGGACTGGCCCCACTACCTGGGCTCTCTTCACCCCTCAGTTCCTTCTGCCCCCCTCCTCACCAAGATTGGGGGAGCCACCAGGAGGCAGGCAGGCTCATTTGCATAAAATTGCCTTTCTGAAATGATTACCCTTGTAACGGGCTGTCAGAGAGCAATTTATACCCCACGCCGGGGAGGGGAATTTGCATCTCGTTAAACTCCAAGTCGTAATTATTTATATCCAACAACCCTCCTGAATATTGCATTGATTTTATTTTGGGGAGGGAGGGAGGGAAGGGGGTGGGGAGAAGCCTGAGAGAGAAGCAGGTTGGGACTAATGTTTAGGAAGAGACAGTGAAAGACTGAAGCAGGGGAGGAGAGAAAGAGGAAGGAGAGGAAATGACTGAAAAGTGACAGAGATGGAAAAGTAATAGAGGAGAAAGGTGGCCTAGTGGGGAGAAATGAAAAAAAAGACAGAAAATTAAATTCCAAATCAAAACAGCATTTGTCAGAGCCCTGGATGCTGAGCCTTTTTACAAATGTCATTTTACTTAATCACTCTGAGAAGTCCCATTATTCTCTCTTTTTTTTTTTTAATAATTTTTTTTTTTAAAAAAGATGGGGTTTCTCCATGATGGCCAGGCTGGTCTTGAACTCCTGACCTCAGGTGATCCCCCCACCTCGGCCTCCGAAAGTGCTAGGATTACAGGCGTGAGCCACCGCGCCCAGCTGAGAAGTCCTATTATTCTCATTAACTACTGGGGAAACCCAGGTAAAGAGGTCTGGGGACTTGCCCAAGGTCACACAGGCAGTTAGCGGGTGCCCTGCCGTGTGACCTTGATGTGGTTGTGTGAGGCAATGGCCCTGGCCTGTGGGGAGGAAATAAACACAGGACAGCCACAGGTGTAGGTGAGAAGCCACAAGACAACGAGGGGGCTGGCTTCGGAAGGGGAAGGTTCCAGGTGTGCAGCGAGGAGCTGAAGAGCTATGTGGGAGGAAACGAGGGACCCCCTAAAAAACCAGTGAGGGGGCACCTGGAGAGTGACACGTGTGCAGAGGAAGATGGGGCAGAAAAGGCTTCAGCAGGCCGTCGGGAGCGCTGGGGGAGCCATCTCCAAGAGGCCCGAACAGCTCAGCCCTCGGGTCCTGCCATTCTGCTCCTGAGACCGCTGCCCTCCCAATCCTTCAAGGCTCCAATGGGGACCTGAATGTCCTGCCCCAGTGCCCCTCCAAGGACTGACCCTGCCAGAGCAGTGAGGAGGAGATCCAGGCAAGCAGCCCCCACTCCTTACAAACACTGTCGGGTTATATATAGCTTTGCCACTGCCTCTCCTCATTGGGTAATGGAGATAATTAACATGTGCGGGCTAATTAGCCAATCAAATTAAATGCAGCACCTGCTCCCAGCCTGATTGACGCCCTCACCCCCCCCAAACACACACACACACACACACACACACACACACACACACAACACGCATCCCCAGCCCAGGGCAGGGGAGGGGGCCCCTCAGGCATCAGGGGAGGGAAAGGTCTAAGCTCCCCGTCTTCTCCAGAAGGGGTAGCCAGAGACCCTCAGCAAAGGCACAGCTCTATGGCCAGAATAGTGACCAGCCTCCCTCTCTCCCTCCCTCCCTGCTAGGGTCTCCATCTCAGTCTGGCCTGGCCTAGCCTCTGTCTGCTGCTCTACCAGCACCCACCCCCACCTCCGGACACTATTTTGGGGAGGGAATTAATTAGCTATTGATTTCCGCTGGCGGAGGGAATAGGATTTCGTGCTGCTGTCCACTCACCCCCAAGCTCAGAACAGGAGGGATTCTTTCCCCTGCCCCACCCCCAGCCGAGTCCCCTGGCATGGTCATATCCGCCACCCTCTAGGGAGATGGCAGACGGGTTCTGTGAGAAAGGCTAGGGGCAGGGTCTCCCTCCATGCAGGAAGTGGGGGAGGACAGATAAAGTGAAAGATGGTGGGGAGGCCGCCAGAGGCTGGAAGGGCAGACACCTGGGTCCTGAGAGCCAAAGGGAATGTTATCTGGGTGGAGGGGCAGGGGAGCAAAGTGTGTGAGAGGCCAGGATGGGGAGGCTGTACCGGTCCCTATGGAGGGAGAGTGGGAGGGGGTGCAGTGCAGGCAGGCTTCTGTGAGCCTGTTCAGGGGCAGAGGCTGGGCTGATGCACTGCCTCCAGGGAGGCTCGGAAGTCGGGTATGGGCCTGCAGCCCCTCAAGGCTCATAACTCGTTTTCCCTGCAGCCCACAGCTCTGCAGCACAGGCCAGCCAGGCTGCTGGGGGCACAGGAACTTCGGAGCAGGCCAGGAGAAAGCCCCAGCATTCCCTGAGTCTTCTCTCCCTAGGGACCCACAGACCCTTTGGGTGGCTTCGAGCTTGCAAGGCAGAAATGGCCCCAGGAGGAGTGAGCCAGCAGACACCTGAGTCCTTCCCATTTCCCCACCCAGTGTCCAGGAAACATGCTTTTCCCCCTAGCACCTTTCCTCTCCCTGTGCCTCCCCCGCCCCAGACCCAAGCTGCTGCCGACCCAGCCTCCAACCCATCCTTCTCCCAGAACACAGGGGCTCCTGCTGCCCTGGGATGCTCCATCATCCCTCCTTAGCTGCTGGAACTCAGCAGCAACCCTTTCTCCAGAGGTCTTCTCCCCACAGGCCAGGGCCATTGCCTCACACAACCGCATCAAGTAAACAGTGTCCCCTGGAGTTGGACAAGGCAACAGCTCCTCCCCAGGTTCACGCAGTGCAGAGGAGGCCCCCTGCACCCACAGCGTACAAGTACTGCCCCCCAGGCCCACTTTTCTTCTTCCATTGCCCATTGCCAGGGCAGGGACACTGCCAGAGTGGCCCTGGGGTACCTGCCTGCTCACTGATATCAATGCAGTGCACACTGCCAGCCACTGCTGGCCCAAGAGTCACCACACCTCTGGGAAGCTGACCTCCTGAGTAATCCTGGGGTTCCGTACCCAGTCAGCTCCCTAGTGCTGCCCCTACCCACAGATAGACTCCGCAGCCTTGGGCCAGTGGTGCCCAGAGCTGGAGTGAGAGGGGCCGGGGTGGCTAGGCTGCCCTTAGGACTTCTGCCTCTACTCCCCAACATTACCCTCTCCCGATAACTCTTCCTGGGTCCTCCTAGGCCAGAGCCTCCTCCTCATCTTCCCATGGCTAGGCCAGTGCCACTGAAGCCTCTGGGCTGTCAGCTTTGGGCTCCCTCGGCATCAGACACCAGGCTGGACCCCATGTGCCCCGTCTTATCAATCCTTCAGCTTCTAGGAGGTAGTTTTGTCACTCAGGCTTACAGACTAGGAAGCTGAGCTCAAAACGATGAGTTCACTTGCCCAAGGCCACAGTGCAGGTAGAGACTGTGCTGGCTCCAAGGCATTTCTTTTACACCTGTGTCTTCGGCTCAGAGCTCACCTTCCTCTCTTCTGGCCTTCACAGGGACACGGCTGTCTCAGGTGTCCCACTCTAAAGCCTACTCCTGGGCCTGGAGACAGAGACCTCAGAGCTCATGGGGTTCATCTTCTCCTTTTTTCCTGGTGTGGAAACTGATTCTCAGGGAGGGACAGTGACTGCCTGGGATTACATAGAAAAGCAAGACTAGAACCAAGGTCATTGGCCTTCCATTCCAGGCACTTCCCATTGCACTTGCTGACCTAGACTTCGGCCCTTCCGCCTGACCAAAGGCCTCAGCCCCACACCACCAGGGGCAAGTATGCAAATGGATGCAAATTCTGGGGTGAAGTGGTCCATGCCCACACGAGCAGAGCCTCTGGCCAGGGCCCTCTCCCCATATCCACACAGTCCCCTCTCTGTGAATACCCACACACACAAACACACGCCCATACACACACCTCCAGCCATGGGAATGCCAGCCTCCCTCTGGCTCTCCACTCCTCACGCCAGCATCCTCTCATGCCAGCTGGGAGTGAGACAGCAGGGGCCTCCTCCAGGCGCCAGGGAGGAAGAGCTGGGTTTACACACATTCTGGTGGCCCCAGAAGGCAGCCCATGGACAGGTGGGAGAAGTGCGTGCAAAGGGGGGAGATTTTGGCTCAGGCTAAAGAGAAACTTGCTGGCAATCTAAAGCATCCAACAGTGGAGTAGGCTGCCTCAGGGGGTGGTGAGTTCCCCGTCTGTGGAGGTGTTCGAGGTGAGACCGGATGACTGCTGCTCAGAGATACTCGGCATGGGGGGGCTTTTGGATCATATGGAAGGAGACAGCAGAACTGCTTGACCCCTGAGGTCCTTTTCAGATGCAGAATGTTTTTTGGAGGGTCCCCTCTCCCCCCTGAAACCCGAGGCAGGATTGGCAGATGGTAAACAGTTCCTACCTCCCTGTCCTCCCTGCCCCTTCCTTCCAGCCCTGATGATCCGGCAAAAACAAGGGAAGATACCATGCCTGTCCACACCCAGCCACCACCTCAGCAGCAGCAAAAACAAGACAGTGCAGTGGTTAGCAGCACTGGCTCCAAAGCCTGGGTTCAAATGCCAGCTCTACCCCTATCTAGCTGTGTGACCTTCGGTAAGTTACTCAGCCTCTCTGTGCTTCAATTTCTTTATGTAAAAAATAGAGATAATAATAGTGTTGCAAAATGAGAATTAACATACATAAAGCACTTAGTACAGTGCCTGGCATAGACTAATGTGTGAAAAAAGTGTGTCATATTAATAATTATTTTAAAAACTTCTCATCTCAGCCTTTTACAGTTGGCAGCACTACTAGCACCTAGTGTTTCCTTTGATTCTCACCAGGGCAAGATAAGTATTATCACTGCCCCTTTTACAGATGAGGAAACAGACACTCAGACGGGAGAAGGGACCCACCCAAGGTCCCACAAATCGTAAATGGTGACACTGGGATTCAGATTTGGTTCTGTCTAATCCCAAGCCCTGGTGTCCTCCTCCACTCTGCCGGGCACTTTGTCTTAACTTGGAGGGCAGGAGGAGAAACAAACAGGCCTAAAGATAAGTCAGAGTCCGGTGCCAAGGTGGGCTGGGCATGAGTGGGCATGTCTGTGGGTCCCCAAGCAGCTCGCTATGTCACAGAGAGAAGCATGGAGCAGGCTGGGCCCAGGAGCTGGTAGCTCAGGGTGCACAGGACAAGGCTGCTGCCGGCTGGCGGAGCTGGGGAAGCGGGTGGCCTGGGGACAGAGGTGCGGTGGAATGATTCGGAGGGGGGGCCAGAGGACAGGTGCGTGGGAGCATGGGGGGCGGTGGGAGGGGTAAGCACCAAGCATACCTATGCTGTACACAGCTGGGGCACAACAGCCTGGACGGGTGCACCCCAGTGATGCAGAGGGGACAGATGACTTCCACGGGCGGCCTTGTGAGTAAGCACAAGGTGCCTGGGAATGTTCCTAAAGGTATCCATGACAGGTGTGTGTGTGTGTGTGTGTGTGTGCGCGCGCGCGTGTGTGCGTGTGTGCATGTGCAGGGAAGTTTATGATAATGACAATAAAAATAGCTACCATCCACTGGGGCCTTCTCTGTGCCTGACAAACACACTAGACAAAGTGCTTCACACAGGCCAACCACACAGTAGGTACACAAGAAATACGCTTGTTACTACTATCATTGCCATCACTCTCCTCTCAGCGAGCCCTCGAAACACCCCATTAGATAGGGACGAGGATCCCATTTTACAGGTGAGGACACTGAGGCTCACTGAGGAGCGCAGCAGAGTCCGTGCAGCCTCACCCTCACCCCACCATCCCAAACAACGGGGGCGGTAGTGGGGAAGCAGCTTCGTAAATGATAAGAAGGTGCCACACCCACGCCTGAAGGCGTGCACCGGGACTATTTGTTGAATGAGCCTCTGAGAGCCCACAGGCCAGTCAGTGTGGCAGGGGCGGGGCGGGGGAGCTGCACTGACAGATGGAGCAGCAGGGTGGGTGGCATGTGAGGACACACTCTCTCGGGGCATCTCTGTGGGGGCTGGGCTTAGGAGCGGCGAATGAAAGGACAGTGGCTCCAGCGCACAGGCAGGTGTGGGTGCCCCTGTGCCTGAGGATTGATGCTGGGAGGTGGCGTCACTTCGAAATGGGAAGACCCCCCCCCCCAGGAAGCCAGGAGTGGCTGGGTGCTGGACTCCACTGGGAAGGGTGGTGGTTGTGGCCAGGAGGGATAGGAGGGCCTGGGCTGAAGGTACATAGATACGAGAGTAAGAGAGAGAGAGAAAATAGAAGAGAGGTTTGGGGGTGCGCCAGGGCAGAGAGCGTGTTAGCAAACGTGTGCTGGTGTGCACACGCACAAAGGCCTGGGGCAAAGTGCTCAGCACCCTGACAGACATGCACATGGTACTTTAGGATGAGCTTGCTGGGGGACAGGGGCTGGTGTATCTGGGAGGATGTGCACACATGCTGTGTAGACGGAGGACGGATGGTGTGTCCAGGAGGAGAGAGCATGTTGCAGGTACTGAAGGTGGATGTGGAAGAAGCACAGGTGTGCCTGCGATGGCTGTGAGCCTGGGAGGTGAGTGGTTGGATGGGGGCCGGCAGTGCCCTCACCCTTGGATGCACGTAGGGGCTGTGCATGTGTGTTGTGTACGTGACAGCAGGGCTCCTGGGGGAGGTCTCAAGGAGGCAAGCACGAGGTGGCAGCCTCTCTGGGTGGGAAGTGCGGGTGGTATGCTGCCGGGAGGTGTATTGTGTACGCAGGTGTGTGTGCCTGTGTAGGTGTGTGTCTGGGTGGATGCCACCGAGCATGTGTATCAGTGTCAGAGTGTCTGTGTCACTGGCAAGGGCAGGCAGGAGGGAGCAGCTGGACCTGGGTAGTGACTGAGCCTGGAAGGAAAGAACTGTCCCCACCAGCCACTGGAGCACGCAGCCCCTCCTCTCAGAACTCCACTGTCATATGGATTCAGCCAGGGCCAAGATGCCAGGAGAGGCCCGGGCTCTTGGAAAGAATTGCCCAGCAGCCATGGCTGGTTGGTCCATCCCGCCCACTCCTGTGGATCTGAGGGCAGGACGGATCTGAGAACACTTCCTCTAGCACGAATGAAGAGCCCTCTCAGCCAAACCCTTCTCCCCTGTTTCCTGAAAGATCCAGCCACGCCTCAGATGCCAGCATTCCTGGAGCCATCCCTGGAAGCAGGAGGAGCTAGGGACTGAGAGGCTGAAGCACCCACAAAATAGAAGGCCTCACACTTTGCGAACCGCAGACCTCCCTCCCCTTCTCCTTCTTTTTCCCTTTCTTCCTCCTTCTCTGGCAGAAGACAGAGAAAGTAAGACCCTAATGTCCACCCTCCCCCGAAACGAACACCCAGACACTGGGAAGGTGGACAAGAAGGAAGGATAAGAATAAATGGAAGAGGAGAGAAGCCCACCCCCCATACATTCAAAAACAGGGGTGTCTGGAAGCCCCAGGGCAGCCAAGGGACTGGGGACCCAAGGCCCACCCCCTAAAAAGCTATTTCATTATTCCAGCTGGACAGCCTCCTCTTTCACCTCCAGACATCAAGAAAAAGCCCCCTTCCAGCCCTTGCTAGCTCAATGAGGCATCAAATGCCCTCTCCCAAGACCCAGGAGGGAGATGAGAGTAAAGGAAACAACAGCACCCCAAAGCCAATTGTGCCCTCAAGAGCCCATCAAGGGTTCAAGGGCTCATACCTCGACCCAAAGACCCCAGGGAAGACTGCTGCTTCAGCGGGGGGCGGAGGCTGGGACATGAGAAATGACCCCCTCCTCTTTAGGGGTGGGGGAGAAAGCCCAGGGCCCTGCAGCTTCCTCTCCCCCTGCAGCACTCTCTGACCAGAACCCTGTCACCGCCCCCAGGGTATTCCCACCCCAGCAAAGCCCCCTCCTACTGATTTCCCAGTCTCCCTCTCTCATCACCCCCAGCCTTCCCCCGCAAGCTTCCGCTCCTCTCCCTCAGACCCCATCTTTCTCAGCTCTCCACCAGCACAGACCCATCTCTGCCTGGAGCACCTTGGCACATTCCCCTCTGCTCTCTCCCAATAACCTCTTCTCCCCTTGGCTCCCATCCCCCAGGAAAGCCTGGTCCTCAGTGGGTTCCCCCAGAACGAAGCCCTTGGCCTGGCCCCTCTCCTTCCCTCTCCACTTCTCTTTTCTCTCCTCTCCAGCCCCCTCTCCTCTCCTCCCACGAAGCCCAGTTCCTCGCTGGTTTCTACCCTGCAGACCCTCCAGAACACAAGAGCCCCTCTGGCCCGGCGCTGCTTCCAGCCTCTGGGGCTAGCACAGACTGGGGGTCCCCCTTTAGAACCCCCTCGCAGTCCTCTGGATGCCCCTCCTTCTCTCCCCATCCCTTCCCCCAACGACCCTCCCTCCTATCCCTCTCCATTCTCCCCAGCTCAGGGCCAGTGCCCCTTCCACAGGGAGCCTCCGACCCCCAATCCCCCAGCGGCTTTCCCTCCTCGCTGTCACCCGGCCAGCCCTCTCAGCGCGGCGCCCCCGCCCCCCAATTCATCTGTCCTGCCTCCCCCGCCCCCTCCGATCCGCTCCCCTCCCCCCGATCAGCTCCCGCCCCCCGCCCGTCTCCGCCGCAGCACCCCCTCCTGTACCTGGTTCTCGGGGCGTCAGGAGCTGGAGGGTGGGTAGCAGAGCTACAGGGCCGCCCCGTCTCCGGCGGGTGGCAGAGCCGGCGTTAGCGGTGTCTGCCGCCTCGCGCTTCTCTCACTCTCCGCCGCGTCCCCGCCCGCCTGCCCCGCCGCGGTGCCTCTCCGAGGAGGATGCTCCGCGAGTCAGGGCGGCTGCTCCCGCCGCCGCATCCCTGCAACACCGACTGACGGCAGCATCAGCACCAGTGCCCGCCCCCGAGACGCGCGCATTGGGCCACGCTGCGCTGACGGACGAGCAGCGCAGCCAATACAAGGGCGCATGAGCCTCCAGTCCGGCAGCTCCACAGCCCCACTCCCTCCCCTGCGCGGGACCCAGGAGTCCGGGACCCGCGGCACCTGCGCTCTTCCCAGCCTCTCAAGGTTCTCGGGCGCCCGGGCCCCCAACCAGGCGGACCCCTAACCCGGCCTCAGTGTCTTTTCTGGGAACACAGGCACCCTCGCCCCTCGCCCATTGGGTCGGGGCCTTGGGTCCCGCACCCTCCCCCCACGGCCAGCGGGTCTGCTGCGCGCAGGGGCTGGGACGAGCCGAACGAGAGACCCCCTACTCGGGGTGCCACGGGAGCCAGGCTGGTGCGGGGCCTGGGCCGCAGCGCCCTCTGCTGGCTACCCCCAGGGGCGGGCCCGGGCTGCGAGGAGCCTAGAGAAGGGGAATCCGGTGGGTCCACGGCTGCTGGGGGCTTTTTCCAGCCGGTAGCCTGGCCCCCGCCTCCCACCGTCCGGATGGCCCCTGGCTTGGAGTCCCCAGAACTTAAGAGGGAGGGGCTTTGTTGGGATAAAGACGGAGGCGGTGGGGGAAGGAAAGGCAGAGATGGGGTGTTGGTAGACCTAGGAACTTGGGGTTTCCCAGTCCTGTCTCATGGGAATCCCAGAGTTTGAGGCCAAACTCCCAGTCTGCCTGGAGCAGCCCTGGGCAGGGGTAAGATTTGGTGTCGGGGCGGGGTTGCGGCTGCACATGCCTGGTGACTGAGGGCACTTGGCAGCAGCCACCGAGTTTCAGAGTTAGAGTGGTGCTGGGGAGCACAGGTCTTTCCTGTAAGAGCACATGCATCACTGTGCGTGTGTATGAGTATGGGGGGCTGGGGGGACACCATTCACTCACTCTGCCGATAAATGGTGCACCTGATACCTAGTGTGCATACCCCAAGGTTGGTCACTGGGCTGCTGAATGAGGCAGTGAGAGAGAGAGAGAGAGAGTGAGTGTGTGTGTGTGTGTGTGTGTGTGTATCACACGTGCCAGACCATTCTGCCAGCTCACTCCAGGACCCTGATTTCTGTTGCAGGGTCTGTGATCTGCACAGCTGGTGGTAGTTGGCACTTCCTTAGCCAGAGCAACGTACAAGAACACTCACATTCAACACCAATGCATCCACATCGGGGAGCTCACAGCCATGCACACCTATCTGTGAACACTGGGCATTCCCAGAGACACACAAGAACACCTGCAGAAATGCCCCGCCATGGTCATGCACCCACAGGAGGCACATACTGCCCAAGAACACACACAGTTGTGCACACAGGCACCTACACAGGCAAATGCATGCCCAGAACAGGTGCACCCAGGGGACCTCCCCAGCAGTCATCCTGCACCCTACTCAGGCAATTCGCCAAGAGTGGTCAATTACTGAGTGGATTCATGTGGACATCAACCCCACCCGCCTGCCCGCAGAGGGAACCTCCTTCCCCAGCCTGTGAAGAGGTAGGAGGGGGACCCAGGCTGCAAGGAGTGTTTCCTAGGAGTCGAGAAGGGTGATCCCTGAGCCAGGTCCCAGGCTTAGGGCCCACTCTGACCTTGAAGAGACCCTCAGAGCATCCCCACCAAGGCCACTGAAGGAGTCACAGAATGGAACTGCTGAGTCAGGGCCTATGGATGCGAAATCGCCTCTCTGACCCCACAGCCCACTTTCCTGCCCCTCCTCTACTGTTCCTCTTCCTGCAGCCTACACACACAGACACACACACACACACACACACACACATACACACACATACACACACACATACACACACACACATACACACACACATACACACACACATACACACACACATACACACACACATACACACACACACATACACACACACATACACACACACACATACACACACACACATACACACAGACATACACACATACATACACACACACATACACACACACACACACACATACACACAGACATACACACACACATACATACACACACACACATACACACACACACACACACACGCATATCTTGTCCACCCAGGCATCAGGGCAAAGACGGACAGGTGCAATGGCTCACAGAGACAGACTCAGACCCTTACACAGGAGGCTGGGCAGGGAGGGAGGTAAGGATGAGCACTTGTCTCCTGTCCCCACCCCCAGCTTCGACCATCAAGGGCAGAAAAGGTCACCGGGCAGCTGCTGCACCTCCCTGCCCCTGCTGCCTACAGGGACGTCTCTCCATCTCTCTGCAAGGTCCAAGGTTCAGACCACCTAAGCGTTTGGGACCTGCCACTTCAAGACACACGCCCCCCACACACACACCACACGCAGGCACCCACTCAATGTGGACACTTGAGTGATGTGCTAAGCCCATACCCTTCTCCCATGTGCACAGGCCAGTGGGGACACATGGGGGAGGGGAACACAGCAAATACAGCATGCATGTCCATGCACACACATGCACACAGGCACACACAACTCGAAGCCCAGACACCAAATTCAGACACATGCAACCATGAAAAGACAGGTACATCACATCCCAGGTGGGGCAGACCTGGACATACACACAACACACACACACACACACACACACACACACACCCCAGGAAGAGGCCAGACTGGAACTGGAGGGTGGTGAGGAGAGGAGCCAGCTGGGCTGCAGGGATGGAGGCAGTGCAGGAGGCAGGCAGCACAGGAGCGAGCTGCTCTTCACAACACAATCGCCGTCTGTTGTTATAGCAACTCAGCCCCCAAATCGTGAAACGGATATTACAGCCTCAATAGGGGGAAGGGCGGAGGGGGCTGAGGACAGAAGGAGGGGTGGGGGGCACCCAATGCAGAGACACGGCTGGGGGGCCCAACATGGGCTAGGCCTTCAGGAGAGAGATGACTGGGAAGAAAGGAGTGGCCCAAAATAAAGAATTGGCCGGCGGGGAGTGGGGCCTCACAGCAGGGATGGGTGTGATGTGGGGAAACCCTGGGGTTGGGGGGCTAGGGCATTCATTGGGGAACGGAGGCCACTGACAGGCCGGAAGATACTGTGCTTTGGAGTTAAAGGTGCTCAGGTCTCCACCCCAGTACAATCCCACAGCTGCTGCAGGACACCTCCCAGTTTGGGGGACTGGGGAGGTAGCTCCCATTGTCAGGACTGCTGTCTGGAGTCTCCTGACCCCAGGGGCACCCCAGGCCAGGTCCAGAACCTTTAGTAAACCGCCAGACCAGCCTCAGAAGTAGCCTTAGCCTTCTTCAGATAGCAGTGACCCCCCCAAAACCTCCGTGCTGCAGGCTCAGTAGGGAAGAGCCGGGTTGGGAGAGGCCACCACCGGAGGCTGAGAGCAGGATCAATATGCATTTCCTCTGGAAGTCACTGTCCTTCCGGCTGGCAGCAGCACCAGGCCAAGAGCCTGCAAGACCGAGGAGTGCAGCCCCCGCCCTGAGGCACAAGCCCAGCAGGGCCCTAGGACTGCCCAGGGCCCTCCCTCCCTTCCCTCACAGGCAGCAACCCTGCACTGCCCCTTTCCTGCCCACAATTCCTGCAGTGAGAGCCCTGTTGCTGGAAGTGTCCAAGCAGGGGCTGAAAGGCCCCCTGTCCAGCAAGAGAATTTTGACCGTGGGCTGAAGACTTCAGGTATGCATGACCACCGGGCCCTGCAATTCAGGTGCAAAGACCTAGTTTCCAATTTTAGATGTCCAAGAATCGGCCTCCTCAAGATTCTAGACCCTCCCCAAGATTCTGTTCCAAGGTTTTCTGCTTCTAAGATTCTTTCCTCCAAGATTCCAGACACACGAGATTCTAGACCTCCCAAGTTTCTCTGACCACAAAGTTCTAGCTCCCAAGATTATCATCCTGTAAAGTACAGCACCCCCGACTCCCGCCCCGGGGATTCTAGGCGCTGATGGTGGAGGGTAATTACATGGGCCTTTTTATTCCATCTGGAAAATACAAATATTCACATGAGTCTGTACAACCTTAGGGACACCAGCCCTGGCCCTGCCCTTAGCTGCATGCCACCCTCAAATCCCACCCCCAGCCCCAGCCTCCTGCCCCAACACCCCCAGGCTCCCTGCTCTGGCTGAAGTCTTTTCTCTCAGGCAGGAATGAGTCCTTGATCCAATCACAGCTGGGAAGAGAAAAACAGGTTGTGAGGAAGATGCCCCCCCCCCAACCACAAGGTAGAAGCCCACCTGGCTTGGGCCATTTGGATAGAGCACCCATTTCCCTGATACTTCCCACCCCCACCCCGGCCCTCAGTGGGGAGCTCTGGTGCCAGCTGTGGGAGGACTCACCTTCTATTACAAGTGGATGTCAAACACCCCGTCCTCCACCGTCTGTACTTCCTCCTCACGGATCTCTGCTGGGAGGGGGATTGCTGCAGAAATACACTCCCAGGTCCCTGGGACTTCGGCAACCCTTTGCCTCTCCACAGAGGCATCTACATCATGCCAGTAGCAGACCCATCCACCAAAAATCAACTCCCTGCATGACCTAACAGCCAAATTTTCTTTTCCTTTTTTTTTTTTTTTTTTTTTGAGACGGAGTTTCGCTCTTGTTACCCAGGCTGGAGTGCAATGGCGCGATCTCGGCTCACCGCAACCTCCGCCTCCTGGGTTCAGGCAATTCTCCTGCCTCAGCCTCCTGAGTAGCTGGGATTACAGGCACGCGCCACCATGCCCAGCTAATTTTTTGTATCTTTAGTAGAGACGGGGTTTCACCATGTTGACCAGGATGGTCTCGATCTCTCGACCTTGTGATCCACCCGCCTCGGCCTCCCAAAGTGCTGGGATTACAGGCTTGAGCCACCGCGCCCGGCTTTTTTTTTTTTTTTTTTTTTTGAGATAGAGTCTCACTCTCGTCGCACAGGCTAGAGTGCAGTGGTGCGATCTTGGCTCACTGCAACCTCCACCTCCCAGGTTCAAGCGATCTCCTTTGTATTTTTAGAAAGGACAAGGTTTTGCCCTGTTAGCCAGGCTGGTCTTGAACTCCTGACCTCAGGTGATCCACCCACCTCCACCTCCCAAAGTGCTGGATTACAGGCGTGAGCCACCGCACCCAGCCTCAGCCCAGTTTTTGAGGCTTTTTTTCTATGTTTTCGTTTTGCCACAGCTTTTTCACAACCACAGATTTGTCAGCACTGTTTGCTTAAATGTCAATTTTGTGTGTATTTTACATTTTAGACCCCAGCACTTCTGGAAGGCTCAATGCAAATGGATTTATCTTTTCTATTTTTGAGGATGTATGCCCTGTGCCTGCCTCTGTTTTTTTGAGGACTTATGCCAACCCAAACAGTTGTGGTCAACTACCTTAGACCCTAGTTTAACATAAGTTGTTCAGAGTGTTCTCGGCAAAATAATCATTTGGCCAATTGCCATTCAGCAAACTGACCTAAAACCACCAAAGACCCCAAGAGAGCCTCCGGGGCATTATCAGCGCAAGGGATCTTTTCTCAGAAGAGCCTCCAGAGCAGCGGAAAAAGGGAAAGGCAAGCCAGTGGCTCACGTAACACCTTCTCCAATCCTTCGTTAATCACACCAACAAAATAAGGCTGTAACTGGAATCTTGAAGCCTCTTTCACTTTTATACCTCTTTATAAATTAGGATCTTGGCTGGGCGCAGTGGCTCACGCCTGTAATCCCAGCACTTTCGGAGGCTGAGACAAGTGGATCACCTGAGGTCAGGAGTTCGAGACCAGCCTGATCAACATGGTGAAACCCCATCTCAAAAAAAAAAAAAAAATTAGGGTCTCTCACCTCAGCGTGGAAGATCCAGGGCTCCCTGGCCACTTTCTGGCACCCTTACCTGTCCCTTCTTTACTGTACCATCACAAAAAGAGAATTAGGCACTTTGGAATGGCTTCCATCCTCCATCAGTTAATACTCTGCCGCAATGGCCCTGCATCCCTCCCTCCACAGGGTGCACATGACTCCCTCTCACCTGGAGGCCTGGAGCCTCGCCTGCCAGGGCGGGGAAGGGAGAAGCTGAAGGCGCGGTGATGGTGGCTGTGTGTGGGTGAGGGTGAGGGTGCAGACCCCTCCAGGCTCACGCTCTGGGCCCTGCGCCGACACTCCACTGACAGGCGATCCTTGCACTGCTTGTGGCAGTTCACACCACAGGCTGGGGGAGGGCAAATGGAGAGCCCAGTCAGGGCCATTGGTCAGAAAACCCTCCATCCCATCCCACAGGCTCGCACCCCTCCCCAGGGACCTTTGTTCTTGAGCAGCTGCCCTACCAGAATAAGAGTCTCCTTCCAAAGTGTTCTCATTCTCGTAATTGTCAGTCTGTGCCCTCTCCCATCCTACGTTCTCTCTTCATGGGCAGCTGCCTCACCAAAATAAATGGCCTCTTAAAGGCGTCTCCCTTCACATCAATCATCTTGCACCTCTGACTTTGTGGGTTTTGTGTTCTGTTTTTGTTTTTTTGTGTTTTTGAGACAAAGTCTCACTCTTGTCCCCCAGGCTAGAGTGCAATGGTGCCATCTCAGCTCATGCAATCTCTGCCTCCCAGGTTCAAGCAATTCTTTCTGGTTTTTTTTTTTTTTTTTTTTTTTTTTTGAGGCGGAGTTTTGTTCTTGTTACCCAGGCTGGAGTGCAATGGCGCCATCTTGGCTCACCACAGCAGCCTCTGCCTCCTGGGTTCAGGCAATTCTCCTGCATCTGCCTCCTGAGTAGCTGGGATTACAGGCACGCGCCACCATGCCCAGCCAATTTTTTGCATTTTTAGTAGAGACGGGGTTTCACTATGTTGACCAGGATGGTCTCGATCTCTTGACCTCGTGATCCACCCGCCTCGGCCTCCCAAAGTGCTGGGATTACAGGCTTGAGCCACCGCGCCCAGCCTCACAGGTTCAAGCAATTCTGCCTCAGCCTCCCAAGTAGCTGGGATGACAGGCGCCTACCACCACACTCAGCTAATTTTTGTATTTTTAGTAGAGATGGGGTTTTACCATGTTGGCCAGGCTGGTCTCAAACTCCTGACCTCAGATGATCGCCCACCTCGGCCTCCCAAAGTGCTGGGATTACAGGCGTGAGCCACCATGCCCAGCCATGTGCCTCTGATTTTAAGGTACTTCACTCCTAAGCAATTGCCCCACCAAAATAGTAACTCTCCCCCCCCCAAAAAAAAAACACTGCCCAGCAGCCCTGCCAGTCATTCCATCTCACCTCGGCATTTGAGGCCCTGCTTGTAGATGCCCAGGATCTGCAATAGAGGAGGGGCAGTGGTGAGAGGACGGATTTGGAGGTGATGACTCTACTTCTTCCTTCTTGAGGGTGGGACTGGGGCTTTAGAGCCCGCCTCGGGGCCAGGGGCAGAACAGCAGGAGGAGAGGGAGGTGGAGTTAACCAGGTTTGCCTGGGTTGAGAAAGGCTCCCGCAGAGGCGGGGCTGGGGCTGCAGGGGCGTGGCTTTGGCAGTGAGCCGGGAAAGGGGCGCTCACCAGGGCTTTGCAGTGGCGGCAGGCGACCGGGCGCAAAGAGTTGCTCTCCTGGAAGTTGTGTACGAAGCCCATGCGGCCCCCCAGCACAGAGCTGGAGCGCAGGAAATAGGAGACCATCTCCTCCCTGCTGATGCAGCCATCCCTGTGGAGGGTTTGAGGGGCGCCTCAGCTCGGATCCTCCCCAGGACCGCCCACCGCTGGCCTAACCCATCCCACTGGGAAACCCCCTACCAAATCAAAGGTCCTCATGGAACTCCTGATTTTGGACTCCTGGGGCAGAGTACCAGGACTAATCCAAGGGCATTCCTGGACTAAGGGTCAGGCAGATGTGGGAACTGCCGCTAACCAGTGTGGTCTTGGACGTGTCCCTTTTCCTTCTCAGAAGAGTGGCCTGCCCTGCCCACTTCACACTTGGTATGTAAACTAAAAGGACTGTGTACTTTTCATGGAACCATCAGTCTCGGGCTCCGAAAGTGTACTGTAAAACACCTGTCGGGAGTCCTGAGCTCTAACGAGTTCTGGGACCAGGAGAGATTGGGAGAACGCGCATCCCTTTTCACTCTTGCATCGTCGCGCTGGAAAGAGCCCTGTAAATCCAGGGTTTCCCACATAGCCCAGGGTTTTCCGCAGAAGGCCCTCTTCATCTATGAATGTATTTTAGGGAAGGAATGAACATATGTTCTAGACACAGACCTTGGTTCAAATCGCAGCTCTGCTTCCCTGCCTCTTGACCCGCAGCTGGGTCGTCTCCCTATGCCTCCGTTTCCTTATCTATGAATGGGCGTAATGATCATTCCTATTTCATAGGATTTTTGTGAGGATTAAATTAGATAATGCACGTCAAGTGCTTACAACAGTGTCCGCACAGACAGCAAGGTCCTCAGCCACCAGGTGCTATTTCCCATCGACTGGCCCTCGTTTGACACTGCCACCTGCTGTATGAGGGGGTTCATAATGTATAATCCAGGTGGTCCTCCAAATCAAGGGAGCATTGGGATAACTGGCCATTTAGAAAAAAATATAGGGCGGGGCACGGTGGCTCACCCCTGTAATCCCAGCACTTCAGGAGGCCGAGGTAGGCTGATCATGAGGTCAGGAGTTTGAGACCAGCCTGAACAATATGGTGAAATCCCATCTCTACTAAAAACACAAAAAAATTAGCCGGGCATGATGGCAGGCTCCTGTAATCCCAGCTACTCAGGAGGCTGAGGCAGGAGAATGGGTGAACTCAGGAAGTGGAGCTTACACTGAGCCAAGATCTCACTACTGTACTCCAGTCTGGGCCACAGAGCAAGAAGAGAAAAAAAAAAAAAAAAAAAAAAAAAAAAAAAAATATATATATATATATATATATATGCCTACATTCTTCTCTACTAAAAATACAAAATTTAGCCAGGGTGCGGTGGCTCAAGCCTGTAATCCCAGCACTTTGGGAGGCCAAGGTGGGTGGATTACGAGGTCAAGAGATCGAGACCATCCTGGTCAACATGGTGAAACCCCATCTGTACTAAAAAAAAAATACAAAAAAATTAGCTGGGCATGGTGGCGCGTGCCTGTAATCCCAGCTACTCAAGAGGCTGAAGAAGGAGAATTGCCTGAACCCAGGAGGCAGAGGTTGCGGTGAGCCGAGATCACGCCATTGCACTCCAGCCTGGGTAACAAGAGCGAAACTCCGTCTAAAAAATATATATATATATATTAGCCAGGCATGGTGATGCATGCCTATAATCCAGCTACTTGTGAGGCACAAGAATTGCTTGAACCTGAGAGGTGGAGGTTGTTAGGAGCCAAGATCATGCCACTGCACTCCAGCCTGGGTGACAAAGTGAGAGACCCTGTCTCAAAAAAAAAAAAAAAAAAGATATAAGATAATAATTGTATAATCTTAAGGGGCTGGGGGCCTTTCTACACAGAACACAAATCTAAGAAGCCATAAAGGAAAAGACTGACATATTGAGCACACAAAAGTTTTTCAATTTTATGTGGAAAAAGACAACATAAATGACAGACAGGGAGAAAATATTTGCAAACACATTCAACAGCAAAGGGTTAACATCCATTAACAGAGATTCTAAAAATCAATGAGAAAAAGACCAACAAACCAGTAGAATAATGGACAAGGAATCTGAACAGGCAATTGACAGAAGAAATAAATGGCCAATAAACACATGAAAAGATACCCTACCCCCATTAGTATTAAAGAAATGCAAATTTAACCAAGATACCATTTGCCAGGGAGACTGGCAAAATTGTGAAGCTTTTTATAGCATCCACTGCTGGCGAGGAAGTTGGGAAGCAGGCACTCGCACGCTGCTGATGGGGGTGCAAACTGGTACAACCTTCTCTGAGGTCAGTTTGGCAGTCTCTCTCCTAATTTAGAATGTGCATATCTTTTGATCCAATTATCCCACTTCTAGGAATTTCTCCTACAGAAATACTGGCCTGAGTGGGTCAGTAAAAGGACGTTCACAGCAGCCTGTCATATAATCGTAGTGAAAAGCTGGAAGAGTTGACATGTGCATCAGCAGGAGGATGGTTAGGTCAGTGATAGCCTAGCCGCACAGTGGAATACTCTGCAGCTGTTCTAATGAATGAGGTAGTTCTACATTAATCCACATGGAAAGATGTCTGTGATCAAGGGTTAAGTGGAAAACAAGAACGAAGACAAAAAAAAAAAAAAAAAGCCATGTAGTTCTGTCAAGATGGTTTTTAGCCTGGGTGTGGCGGCTCATGCCTCTAATCCCAGCACTTTGGGAGGCAGAGGTGGGTGGGTCACCTGAGGTGAGGTCAGGAGTTCGAGACCAGCCTGGTCAACATGGTGAAATCCCATCTCTACTAAAAATACAAAAATTAGCTGGGTGTGGTGGTGCATGCCTATAATCTCAGCTACTTGCGAGGCTGAGGCATGAGAATTGCTTGAACCTGAGAGGCGGTGGTTGCAGTGAGTCGAGATAGTGCCACTGTACTTCAGCCTGAGCAACAGAGTGACTTTGTCTCAAAAAAAAAAAAAAGAAGATGGTGATTTTAAAGAAAAGAAAAGAAAAAAGAAAACCCCACTACTACAAGTACCTAGAAACTGGTTAAAGATATATCAACAGCCGGGCGCGGTGGCTCAAGCCTGTAATCCCAGCACTTTGGGAGGCCGAGGCGGGTGGATCACGAGGTCGAGAGATCAAGACCATCCTGGTCAACAAGGTGAAACCCCGTCTCTACTAAAAATACAAAAAGTTAGCTGGGCATGGTGGTGCGTGCCTGTAATCCCAGCTACTTAGGAGGCTGAGGCAGGAGAATTGCCTGAGCCCAGGAGGCGGAGGTTGCGGTGAGCCAAGATCGCGCCATTGCACTCCAGCCTGGGTAACAAGAGCGAAACTCCGTCTCAAAAAAAAAAAAAAAAAAAGATATATCAGCAAAAGCAACAAAAGGCTGGGCGTGGTAGCTCACGCCTGTAAGCCCAGTACTTTGGGAGGCCAAGACAGGTGGATCACCTGAGGTCAGGAGATCGAGACCAGCCTGGCCAACATGGTGGAAACCTGTCCCTACTGAAAATACAATTATTAGCCAGGCATAGTTGGGGGCACCTGTAATCCCAGCTACTTGGGAGGCTGAGGCAGGAGAATTGCTTGTACCCAGGAGGTGGAGGATGCAGTGAGCCACGATCGCACCATTACACTCCAGCCTGGGCAACAAGGGCAAAACTCCATCTCGGAAAAAAAAAAAAAAAAGAAGATATATCGACAATTGCTATAAATGCGTAGGTAATTTTATACGAAAGAAATGAAAACCCCCAGATTCCAGAAACAAAGAGGGAGTTTTACAATGAAGCGGTGAGCCGGGACTGGTCCTGGGGTGGATGTTGGTCTCCCTCCTGCCGAACCAGTGCTAGGTTTTAACCCCCAACCAGGGCTTCCCCCTCACCAACACACAAACACACACACACACACACACACACACACACACACACAAACACACACACACGCAGCCTGGAGCCTGCAGGAGGTGGAGGGTTAAGGCTGAGGCTGCTGCATAAAGCCAAGGCCTCCAAGGTCTCAAAGGGTCATCGGCAAGTTTCAGTGGTCTAGATAAAAATCCACCCACCAACCTAGGGAGCTAACATGGAACTCAACTACCTCTGCCTAAACTCTAGGAGAAGAAATAAAGCAGCTATGATAAAAGCCACAAGCAGAACTGGATTTATACTCTAATCCTGTTTGTCCATGAAACAGACACCAACAAACAAAATCTCTATCAATGTGCACGTGCCTGTGAAAATAGACCCACATGCTGCCAAGCTTAATATTGTTCAGTGTTTAATCAATGCAACGTCTACCAGTGGAACAGTAAAGAGGGAACTTTCATTTCTTCCTGTTTTTGCTCTTTTGGGTTTTTTGATGGGGTGGTCTCACTCAGCCACCCAGGCTGAAGTGCAGTGGTGTGATCATAGCTCACTGCAGCCTCAACCTCCCGGGCTCAAGGGATCCTCCTGGCTCAGCCTCCTGAGTACAGGCACGTACCACCCATCTCCATGCAGTGAGCTGAGACTGTGCCACTACACTCCAGCCTGAGCGACAGAGTGAGACTCTGTCTCAGAAATAATAATAATAATTTTTTTTTTTTGGTAGAGACAGAGTCTTCCTATGTTTTTTAGGCTAGGCTTGAACTCCTGGCCTCAATCGACCCTCTGACCTCAGTCTCCCAAAGTCCTAGGATTACAGGTATAAGCCACCATGCCTGGACTCTCACTTCTTACTTTAAACACTGTGTTCACTATAAATTTATTTTACTACCTACATTTTATTTTACCATGGATTTCTGTAATGAGCAAATAAAAAACAACAGATTTTTGAAATACAGGTAACATTAAAAAATAAATAGACCTGAGATGGACTGTAAATTTTGAATGGAGTTTTGTCTGCTTAGCAAAAATAGGGCCTGAATCTGGCTGCAGGGGGCATGTCTAACCTACTTCGGAGAACCAGCTGTTTTTCCAAATTGTCTGCCTATGAATTGTTGATAAGCAAATGGGTGCTGCTAATTACAAACCTTTCTTATCTATTCAGTAAAACAAGCTATCCGGGAGCTCGACTTGCCCACACTTCTTGACAGCTGTGAGCTCCACAAATAAAATAGCACTTCTGTAGCCACAGTCCCCAGGCTACCAAGACTCAGGTGGAGCCCCCTCATTTGTCTGAATTCAGGAGATACCACTGCACCTCCACAGCTGGCAGCCTGTCCTCCCCACGAAAAGAAGCGCCCCTTCCCACACTGGCAGTTTCCCAGGCCAAGATCATCTGGCTCAGTGGCCTCATCTTGCACACAGGAAACTGAAGCCCAGGCGGAAGTAGGCCGGGCTGCCTTCCCTCTCCCCCAGGCCCCCAACCCTCCTCACTGGTTCTGGTCGAGGTCCCCAAAGGCGCTGAGGTAAGGGAAGTTCCCACGGATGATCTGGAACTCTTCCTGTGAGATGTGGCCATCCCCATCGACATCAAAGTTCCGGAACACAGACTGGGGCACACAGAGGGACACGCAGAGCCAGGAGACGGGAGAATAAAGGGGACGTCAGGGCCTGTCCCTTCCCACGTTCCCAGTCCCTGGGATGAGGTGTATCTCAGAGAGGTCTCCGACACTGCCCCTGTTCCATACCCCTACCCCCACCCCCACCCTACCCATGGGTGCCTCAGCCCCACGAAGCTGGCCTGCCAGGCCCTGACTCCTGGGGGCTGAGTGCCGGGTCTTGAAGAGGACACTCATGCTGGCTCCCAGGACAGCGCTCCAGCAAACTGGCCTCTCGCCGCTCACCTCCACCATCTTCTCGATGTGCTCCGCCACGAGGGCCTGATCCAGCTTGGGTTTGGCAGCTGAGGTCCACTCCTCCAGCACTGGGGGCCGGGGTGGCGGGGTGCAGCTTGTGGGGCTGGTTGGCTATGGAAATGGTCAGGCCTGAGCTAGGGCCAGAGGCAGAGGGAACCCAGAGCCCAGGGGAGCAGGCAGGAGAATCCCTGGGAGAGGGAAGACTGCCCAAGGCCACTGGCCCACCCCAGGATGCCTCTGTCCTTCAAGAAGGATGGGTGAGGTGGCTGCTAAGAGCTCTTCCTGTCCTCACATCCCAGGATTCTCAGGAGGGAGAGGCAGAGTGGCGAGGAGGGAGTCCCCTCTCACCGAGGACTTGGAGCGCGGCTCCCGCTGCAGGGATAGCTGGTACAGCTCATCCTCCGTCTGATACTGATCCAGAGAAACCTGGGACACACACACAGGTCTCATCACACCCACTGGCCTCTGCCCGCAGCCACAGAGCCCAGGGCCAAAGTTCCACCTAGAGGGCACAGCTCAGCCCAGAGCTCGGGTCAGAAGCTAGACTCAGGACAAAGCCTGGCTTAGAACACAGCATACAGCAACCCCACGCCATCCCAACACAGAGATCAGACCGCAGCGTGGACCCAAACGTTGAACACAAATATTGCCAAGATCTCTCAGCGAAGAAGCCAGGTCAGAACCCAGCCGCAGCTCTGATTTCAACCCTGATCCCATCCAGAGCCCAGAAGCAGCTAAGAATCCACTCCAAACCCTAATACCTAAGCCCCAGCCCAATGTCTGGAACCTCATCTGGATCTAAACCAGAACAAAACTCCCACCCTAGACCCCAAGACGAAGTGCAAAGCCAAGCCCAGAACTTCACTCCAAGCCGGGGCCGTGCTTAGAAACCACCCTTGCCCACAGAACGCAGAGCTTAGCCCAGCCCTAGAACACAACTCACTGCCAGAACTCAACCCGGGACTCAGGCCCAGCTCAAACTGCCCACAGTCCACATGCCAGCCTGGAGATCAGACCTCAGTCCACAGACCAGAGCCTGAAGCCCTCCTCAGCATCTACTCCAAACCCCAGAGCCCAGGCCAGACCTCAGTTCCTGGCCAAAACCCACCGTGAGCAGGCTGAGCAGATCAGGGTTGGCCTGTACTGGTGGTCGAAGGCTGGTCACCATGGCCAGCTCCTCCAGGATGCTAAAGAGCTGCTTCATCTTGGCCCCGTTGAGCCGGGTCCGGGCTGGGTCCAGCCAGTCAGGCAGTGCCAGCTGCAGGGCCACCAGGTCCTTGAGGTGCACACCCAGGATGGGGAAGCGGAAGCCCACACAGGCCGCCAGCCGGCGCCGGTAGTTGCCATAATTGCCTGTCGCCGTCACTAGTTCAGTGAGACCTTCCCAGAGCTGGGGACAAAGGGCAGAGGGTCATACCCCTACAACTATCCTCCCCACCTCAGCCTTGGAGCCAGGGTCAGGGACAGGGTCAGCGACAGGTGAAAGAGTAAAATCCTCCCTTACCGTCCCCCAGAACTGGCTCTCTCAGGCCCTGGGGGTTGAATCCAGTGCCATGAATTCAAGGCAATGCCCACTGCCAAACACACCACACCTCTAAACCAGGTCTGGACGCAGGAGATCATCAACATTTAACAGAATAAGAAACAGAGCCTCAGGGCGGCAAGGCAGTACAGGACAAATGACCTGGAAGAAGGTACTCAGCCGCCCCGTCCAAACAGCAAAAACTGGAAAAACCCACTGAGCGCAGTGGCTCATGCCTGTAATCCCAGCACTTTGGGAGGCTAAAGCGGACCAACTGCTCGAGCTCAGGAGTTCGAGACCAGCCTCGGCAACACGGTGAAACCCTGTCTCTACTAAAAATACAAAAAATTGGCCGGGCGCGGTGGCTCAAGCCTGTAATCCCAGCACTTTGGGAGGCCGAGGCGGGTGGATCACGAGGTCGAGAGATCGAGACCATCCTGGTCAACATGGTGAAACCCCGTCTCTACTAAAAATATTAAAAAATTAGCTGGGCATGGTGGTGCGTGCCTGTAATCCCAGCTACTTTGGAGGCTGAGGTAGGAGAATTGCCTGAACCCAGGAGGCGGAGGTTGCGGTGAGCCGAGATCGCGCCATTGCACTCCAGCCTGGGTAACAAGAGCGAAACTCCGTCTCAAAAAAAAAAAAAAAAAAAAATACAAAAAATGAGCCGGACGTGGTGGCGCAAGCCTGTAATCCCAGCTACTTGGGTGGGTGAGGCACAAAAATCACTTGAACCTGGGAGATGGAGGCTGCAGTAATCCGAGATCCCACTGCACTCCAGCCTGGGCAACAGAGTGGGACTCTGTCTCAAATAAGTAAATAAACAAACAAACAAACGGAGGTAGACTTACAATAAAATCTATGGCAATGAAAATGAAAAAACAATTGCTCCACATAACAGAATGAAAAGACTCTCAGAACCATGTGGAATGAAAGAAGCAAGACACACAATAATACAAACAACATTCCATTCATAGAAAGTTCAAAACAGGCAACAAAAAGCCCACATTGTTTAGGGCCGCATATCTAGGTGGTGAAGCTATGAAGAAAAGCAAGATCGTCATGGCAAAAGTCTCGGGAAGGGAGTCATGCTCTAAGGTGCTGGGCGCTTCAGGTACTGGTAAGATTCTATTTCCCAACCTGGCAGTAGTTACATAGCGTTTTCTTTACAATTTTTCTTTAAACTATTCATATGGTTTGTTTGTTGGTCTGTTTGAGACGAAGTCTTTTTTTTTTTTTTTTTTTTTTTTTTTTTTTTGAGACGGAGTTTCGCTCTTGTTACCCAGGCTGGAGTGCAATGGCGCGATCTCGGCTCACCGCAACCTCCGCCTCCTGGGCTCAGGCAATTCTCCTGCCTCAGCCTCCTGAGTAGCTGGGATTACAGGCACGTGCCACCATGCCCAGCTAATTTTTTTGTATTTTTAGTAGAGACGGGGTTTCACCATGTTGACCAGGATGGTCTCGATCTCTCGACCTTGTGATCCACCCGCCTCGGCCTCCCAAAGTGCTGGGATTACAGGCTTGAGCCACCGCGCCCGGCCGAGACGAAGTCTTGCTCTGTCACCAGGCCAAAGTACAGAGGTGCAATCTTGGGTCACTGCAACCTTTGCCTCTCAGGTTCAAGTGATTCTCCTGCCTCAGCCTCCTGAGTAGCTGGGATTACAGGCACCTGCCAGCGCGTCCAGCTAATTTTTGTATTTTTAGTAGTCACAGGATTTCACCATGTTGGCCAGGATGGTCTCGATCTCTTGACCTTGTGATCTGCCTGCCTTGGCCTCCCAAAGCGCTGGGATTACAGGGGTGAGACACCACACCCAACCTATTCGTATGTTTTTATATACTTTTCTTTTCTTTTCTTTTTGAGACAGAGTCTCACTCTGTTGGCCAGGCTGGAGTGCAATGGTACAATCTTGGCTCACTGCAACCTCCACCTCCCGGGTTCAAGCAATTCTCCTCCTGCCTCAGCCTCCCAAGTAGCTGGGATCACAGGCGCACCACCACACCCAGCTAATTTTTGTATTTTAGTAGAGATGGGGTTTCACCATGTTGGCCAGGCTGGTCTTAAACTCCTGACCTCAAGTGATCCGCCCCCCTCGGCCTCCCAAAGCACTGGGACTACAGGCGTGAGCCACCACACTCGGCCTCATATGTTTTTTTTTTTGTTTTTTTGAGACGGAGTTTCACTCTTGTTACCCAGGCTGGAGTGCAATGGCGCGATCTCGGCTCACCACAACCTCCGCCTCCTGGGTTCAGGCAATTCTCCTGACTCGGCCTCCTGAGTAGCTGGGATTACAGGCACACACCACCATGCCCAGCTAATTTTTTGTATTTTTAGTAGAGACGGGGTTTCACCATGTTGACCAGGATGGTCTCGATCTCTTGACCTTGTGATCCACCCGCCTCGGCCTCCCAAAGTGCTGAGATTACAGGCTTGAGCCACCGCGCCCGGCCTCATATGTTTTTATAGACTTTTCTATATGTATATTACTCAGTACTTCAAACATAATAATAAATGAAAGAGAAGGAAAAGTGGTAAGGCGCAATGGTTCACGCCATAATCTCAGCACTTTGGGAGGCCAAGGCAGGTGGATCACTTGAGCCAAGGAGTTCGAGACCAGCCTGGGTATTGTGGCAAAACCCCATCTCTACAAAAATAATAATAATTATTATTATATAAAGCCAGACGCAGTGGCTCACGCCTGTAATCCCAGAGCTTTGGGAGGCTGGGGCAGGTGGATCACCTGAGGTCAGGAGTTCGAGACCAGCCTCACTAACATGGAGAAACCCCATCTCTACTAAAAATACAAAATTAACTGGGCATGGTGGTACATGCCTGTAATCCCAGCTACTCAGGAGGCTGAGGCAGGAGAATGAACCCAGGAGATGGAGGTTGTGATGAGGCAAGATCAAGCCATTGCACTCCAGCCTGGGCAACAAGACCAAAACTCCATCTCAGAAAAAAATAATAATAATACAAAAATTAGCCAAGCATGGCAGCATACACCTGTAGTCCCAGCTACTCAGGTGGCTGAGGTGGGAGGATCAACTGAGCTCAGGAGTTTAAGGCTGCAGTGAGCTGTGATTGCACCAGTGCACTCCAGTCTGGACAACAGAGAAAGACCCTGGGAAAAAAAAAAAAAATTCAAGCTTTGGGGTCCAGGACAACCTGTGAGTCCCCACTCTGCCGCTGCCATTGTGCAAACTGGGAAAAGCACTGAACCCCTCTGAGCCTCCGTTTCCGCATCTGTCAAATGAGGACAGTTGTGTCCAGCCCCCAGTGCTGCTGGGTGGACCCAGTGAAGACAGACCTGGGAAGCAGCGGCCCCTCCCCAGTCCCAGGCACCTTGATGGTCTCAGGGCTAACGTGGCTGTGGGTCTCCTTGAGGCGGGAGATGGAGCTGTGGCTCAGGCCCCCGACCACTGCCATCAGCGTGTTGAAGTTCTGCAGCTGCAGCAGCTTCTGGAAGGCGAATGGGGAGGGGAGGCAGGGAGTCACTGAGTGGGCCCAGAATTTGGCCTAGCCTTTCTGGAGAGAAGGCAGTGGCTTAGGGGAAAGGAAGGGTTGGCCTGACAGGCATATGGGGAGAGGTTGGGAGACACAGGGAGGGAGGGGCAGGCACCTCCGCCACGTGGACAAAGTGTGTGATGACCAGGGCCCGCTGCGGGGCTGTGGGTTTGCTGAGGATCATGAGCTGCACCCACTGCGAGACGCTGTTGAAGAGGGAGATGAACCGCTCCAGGACGGGGTTGTCCACGGTGCAGCCGTGAGTCACGAAACTGTGATAGTCCTGGAACTGGAGGCAGGAGGAGTGACCTCAGCCCCTTCCCAGCCTCTCCACTCGCCAATGGCCACTCCTCGCCCTCCAGCTGTCCTTCGGTTACACTGAAACCCCCGATGCACCCTGTGACCCAGCCTACCCCAGGGACCCTGCCCCTCCAAAACTCCCTTCCAGCCCTCACTGGACCCCTGACTCCCACCCTTGGGCCGCACCAGGATCTTGCAGAATGAGCGATACTCCAAGTAGGTGAGATGCTCCGCCAGCTCCAGGGGCTCCAGGTGGTCAAACAACAGGGACATCTTGCGCTTCTTCTGTCCCATAGGGTTCCGCTGAGTCACCTGCCGCTTCCACTTGTAGGTAGGGCTGCGGGGGCAGGGGGAGTGAGCCCTTGGCTGGACACGTGCGTGGCTCATGACCCCCCGCTCACACAGACACGCCATTCACACTGACTGAGGACCTACACCCACACAATGTGAGGCACTGTCCTAGGCACGGATATTCCCAGTCCCAGCAACTCCTCCACCTCTCCCCACACCCCGTCATGCACTCAACACAAGTTTGTGAACAACGTACTCTGTGCCAGGCACTGTGCTAGGCGTTGGGAATACAGAGATGAGTAAGACAACGGTTCCTGCCCTCGAGGAGCTCACAGTCTACTGAGGGAGACAGACACAGAAACACATGATCACAAAACAGCGTGACACATGTACAGAGGTCTTTGTACAGGAATCTGTACAAAGTGCCATGGAGAACAGAGGAGGCAATGACAAATTCTACCCTGGAAGAGCCCTGAACCCTCAGAGCCCATAGAGACTTCATGCCTGAGCTTAGGCTTGGTAACACGGAGGAGGCAGTAAGGGGATGATATGAGCAGAGCACCACGCTGGGAGAGGACACGGGAGCTCAGGCCACGGGGAGGGGACCCACTCGGCTGCAGGAGGAGGTGTGTGGGAATGGCAGTGGGCAGTGGGAGATGAGGCACAAACACCAAGCTGCCCAGAGGAGGCATATTGAAGGCAATAGGGAGCCATGGAAGGTTTTTAAGCGAGAGAGTGACATGACCCTCACTCATTCAATTCAACAGACATTTATTAAGCGAAGATGGTATAGAATACTGAGCGCCTCCCCCCCCCGCCCTCTCTGCTCCCCCCACGCACACGCTGTCTATGTCGATGAGGCTGCTGTGCCGCCGGTTCCCTTCTTGGTCTAGCAGAGACTTCAGCTCCTTGATCTGCTCAGCGAGCTCTGGGTTCAAGTCAAACTCCGCTGGGAAGGCAGAGATCCAGTACCTGGAGGAGCAGGGAGTCACCCAAAACAGCCCCTCCCCCATCGTCACCCAGCAGGCTGCAAGGCACTATCTTAGACTGTAGTTACCACGGAAGAAGAGCCTCAAACTACGGTTCCAGCTCTTTCCTTCTCAAAGTGTACATGAGACCCTTGAGACAACCACCCGCACTGCGCAGAAAAGAAATTAAGTCCCAGACCCAGGAAGGGGTGAGCCTGTGGCAGCCCAGCCCACCCAGACAAGCCAGGGTTCAACCCCACTCCCAGAAGAGCAGCACCCTGCCCCCTCCTTCAGGGCAGCCTGAAGCCAGAGAGAAGGGAGAAAGGGGAGGGTCCAGAGCCCTGGGGAAAGACTCACCTGACCAGGTGGCATGTTTTCACCTGCAGGGAATTGGAGTTGTCCTTCCGGGATTGTTGGTAGGTAAAGGAGAGAGTTAAGGAGGCCGCCTAACTCTAGAAAGGGAGGCCTAAGTGGATGGAGGCTGAGGGCGGGGCCTGTTTCTAGGAGTTCTAGGGATGGGGCCTGCTGTCAGGTGGGATGCTGGAGGTGAGGCCTGCGCTCTGGGAGGATTGGAGGTGGGGGTAAAGGATGAGGTGCGGAGGAAGGCTGAGAGCAGAGCCAGGGCTCTGAGACAGAGGCAGGGAGAGGCAGGAGGTGGACGGGGCCTGGAGTCAGGAGGAGGGCAAAGCCTCGGCTGGGGACAGAGCATGGGGGCAAAGCTGGGTCACCAGGGGCAAGGAGGGGGCAGAGCCTGGGCCCTAGCTGGAGGCTGGGGCGACACCTGAGCTCTGGGATAAGGAGGGGCCTATGCTTAGGGGCGAGGCTGATTCTGTGCCTGGTCTGGGCAGAGGGGCTGAGCATGGACTCCGACGGCAGGCGCCATGGCAAGGCCGGTGAAGGATATATGTGGAGCAGCTTGGCCGCCAGCTCAGAGGAGGGGATGTACCAGGGGTGCATCATGAGGAACATGCGCACCAGCTGCGGGTCTCGCACCTTCCCGGAGTCATCTGACTCGTTAGGGTCAAAGACAAGAGGCTGAGCTGGGTCCGCAGGGACCAGGCCTGGCTCCCACCCCGCAGCCCGCCTGGTGTCAGCCCCTCGGGTGCACGCCCGACCCCGCCCACCTCCTGCTTGCCCAGGACTCCGAGAGCAGGAGGCAAATTAGAGAGGAAAGGTGGGGTGGGCGAGGGATAGGCAAGCTCCGAGGACTGGAGGAGGGGAGCGCCCCAGTCGCCCATCATCCGGAGGGGAACCAGCTGGGGCGGAAGGAGCCTGGGTTCCCCGGGGTCAAGAATCCAGAGGTCATTTCCTGAGTGCTTGGAGGAAGGGGCACCCCTTCACCAGATAAGCCGCCCCCCATTGGCCGGAAACAGCTTCCAGGCCGGAGATAGCAAGTTCCTCCGGATCCCCCGGGAGACCGATAATGCCCCTCCTGTGTCAGAGTCCGGGACCCGGCCCTCCCTTGGCCGCCGCTGGGGAAGGCTGGACAAGGGAAACCTCATCTGCGTGCGTCTCTGCCCTGCGATGCAGAGGAGGCTTTCGTTAGAGACTGCACGCTGAGGACCTGGGTGGGTCTGGACCAGGGCTGTACCCTGGACGGTGCCTGGGAGGCAGCGACCCAGGCTCAGAAGCGGGGCTGGGCTCAGATCCGTGTTCCCTCCCTAGCTACTCACCGAAGGCTTCGATGCACCCGCGGAGCAGCTCCTCCACCGTGCAGCCCTTGTCCAGGTCCAGGGTGCCCGCCATGGCCGCTGGCGCGGGGTGGCCTGGGCCCAAGCTGCGCTCCCGGAGCCTCCCACCGGGTTCGGACCGAACCCCTGTCCTGGAAGAGGCAGAGCGGGAGTCTGCGGAGGCGCGGGCGGGGGAGCGGCCCCGCGGGCAGGAACGGGGCGGGGCAGGCACGCCCCCTGCTGGGCAGGGGCGGAGTTGTCCGCCGCGGCCACTCCCGGGGTTAAACGGTCTGGCCCGGGATGGTGCAACCCTCCAGTTGGGAAACGAACCCTCCGAGAGGCTTCCGGCCCACCCTTGGAGTCGCGGAAGGGCCAAGGGGCTTCACGAGGACGGGGACGAGCCAGGATCCCAGGGCTGGCTAGCACCCCAGGCCCCGCAGGCCCCCTTCTCCTCGCGCCCTCTCCCCAGAGGCACCTGCAGCACCCCGCAGCTCCGCTCTGCGCCCCGCCCGCTTCCCTCCCTCCACAGCCTCCCTTCCCCCGCAGGGTTATTTTGGGAACCCGGAGCCTGAGGGGACCTCGGAGGAATTTCTCCCTGGGATGGGAGGGGGAGGAGAGAACCCAGGCGTCCTGCCCGCCTCGCCCCCTCTCGGGAGCCCGGGAAGGCGAGGCGGGGCTGTGGCGGCCCCCAGGGGCCTGCCCTAGGAGAAGCGGACTAGATGGGAGAGGAACATTCCTAGGGCGGGGGGAGCCCGCCGCGACCGGGAGGCGTCAGCGGGAAGCCTGAGCCTGGGAACTGGGCGCTCCCTGGCCACCTCTGCAAAGGTCCCAGGGCTCCCGGCTCCGCTTGTCCACTGGCCATCTTCCTCCCTATCCCCGCTCCTGACCCCAGCCCCGGCCCGGCACAGGCGAACTGTGAGCGCGCAAGAAGCAGGGTGTCCGGAGGGGGGCGCTCGCCCTCTCGGGGTGGCCGGTGCGTGTATGACACCGTTAGCAACTCCGGTCACTGGCGGGGTCATACGCTGGCAGGCGCATACACTCTCTCCACACCCAAGTTATTCGTCGGAGGCCCGGGACCTACGTAGAGGTGCAGGCGCCCGCACTTACACGCACCGGGCCACAGGCACCGGCCTCCGATCGTCCGTCTCCCACACACAATGGCACCGACGCCCTGTGCACACCTGCACGAAGGAACCCTCAGGCACACATACCCAGCTGTCTACCCCAGAATGCAAACCCGCGGACGTGGTCGCCTCCTGGACCCGCTGTTCACTTGAGCCAGGCCAGCCTCGAGTCCCGCGGCCACAGCAGCGCTGACATCGTCACACGTGTGCACACACGCAAGGCAGTGCCTCTCCACGCATGTACACTCCCACACACATGCACACACCCCCGTGGGTGCGCACGCCCATTCCGTCGCCCCCCTCCCATTTGCGGTACAGGCCCCGCCCTGCGGCCCCAGGGTCCTGACTCCCCTCACTTCCAGATTTTGGCAAAGCCTTGCCCCACGGAAAGGTACCCCAGCCCTACACAGACTCCCCCCAACCTTGGCTGGAAGACGGGGGAGCTCCAGGACGGAGTTCTTAGGCGGACTTTTCCTAGGAGCCACCCAGAGCCGCCCCCGCCTGGCTCTGCCGCTTCCTCGTGTGACCTTGAGAATCACTTTGCCTCTCGGAGCCTCAATTTTCTCATCTGTCAAATGGGGGTTCGCGGGGGAGGGCCCCGCTGGGACGTGGCCGGGAAAAGCCTGGTGCGCCGAGGAGGTCCGCCGCCCTTCGGGGGTCTAGCGCGCCTCAGCTCTCGTGGCCGCTGCTCCCCTCCCCGACCCTGGTCGCAGATTCCCCACCCGCGCGCCGCCCCCAGCCCGCCTGCGCCGCCCCAGTGGGGGACCCTGGGGGCGCCCTCCTCTGCCTGGAGCCCCGCCCGAGCTCGCTCACTCACTCTTGGGACCTGCTGCAAGGAGCCCGCACCGGCCCGGCCGGCCCCACCTCCGTGCGCTCCCGCCCGCCGGCCTCGCTGCGGCTGCGGCTCCCGCCAGCTTTCCGCGCCGCGGCCCCGCTCCCCGCCGCCCCGCCCCCGCGCCGGGCCGCCCCCTCCCCCCTCCGCCCCTGCGCCTGTCTCCGCACCACCGGCTGCGCCTCCCCCACCGGGGGCTCCCTCTCGCCCCGCAAGCGGCGGTCCCTGCGGCAGCTTAACCCCTCCCCTGCCGCACCGCCCCGGAGGCGAGGGCCGCGGGCGGGGGTCTGCGCCACTGGCTGCCCCAAGGGTGGGCGAGCGGAGGCCGAGCCCCGCGGGACGCGGAGGGGGACCAAAGCGAAGAGCCCCTCCCCCCACCCTAACGCCCCAGTGCCCCCCGCCCTGCCTGGGTGTCAGGCAGAGGAAACCGGGAGGGGCAGGAAGCGGACTGCGGTGGGGAAGGGGCGCCCCGCCCAGCCCCCAGCCCGGGTTCCTGTTTTCGAGACAAACCGTTCCCACGGGGCTAACCCGGCCCGGGACCGGGCGTCTTCCTCTAGGCAGCGGGCGGCACAGGCCTGGTGGAGGTCGGGGGCGTGGGGACAGCGGGTCCTTGAGATCGTCTGGGGGAGGGGCTAGGACAAGAATGGGAACATTTTGGGGAGAGGGGCCTGTGGGGAGCGAGGAATGAAATCGTGGCTACCTGGAGACGCGGCCTCGATCTGGGAATGGGGGCGGGGGGCCAGTTCACACAGGAGGAACGCGGCCCGGGAAGCCTAGCTCCCCACAGGGCCGAATGGAACGGGAAAGCCGCATGTGGCGGTGGGTTTTCCGCAGCTTGGGGATTGGAAGCCTGGAGGCCGGGCCGGCAGGGAGGAACTTGGGAGGGGCAGCCGCAGGCAGTTGGGGTCCCCACTAGCCGGGCCTAGGAGGGCGGGTAACGGTTTCCGGCCATTTGGCTTCAAACACACTCACTGTGAAACCACCGACCCCAAACCACCCTTCCGAGGCGTGCCCCTCCCAGCCTCGGCGCGGGGGACCCAGGAGCGCCCCTACACCTCAGCCTTGGTAATGTAAGACCTAGAAACAGGCCCTTTCTGTTCCTCAGTTTCCCCATAATGAAGAGTGACACTGGCCTAGCCTAGGCGGTCTGCGAGTGTTCCCTGCCCTAACACTCCCCCGACTTTGCATCGAGCGTAGCCACCTGCTAAGGGACCCTTAAACGCCGCAGTAGGGCGGGGCTAAGGGCGGAGCCAAGAAGGCACTGAGTATCCACGGCTTCCTCCCGCTCCTGGGTCCTGCCCCCGACAGCGTGGATTCTCCGTGGTCCGGGAGGCCTCAGCCCGAGTCCCGGTTCCCAGCCCCGGTGGGCCCCACCCAGGCAGACGCCCCGCCCCCGGCCAGCCAGGCTGTCCGCTGACCTAGTATGGACACGGTACTGGGAAGAAAGGCGGGGAGGGTGACGCCAGGAAAGGGGCTGGAAAGTCCTAGGCCCCGCCCCCAAGGGGTCGCCCCCCTCTACTTCCCACCCCTGTCCCCTCCCTGGGACGCACCTGCGGAGTATGGAGCATAAGGGGGTGATTGCGCAGCTGCTCTTGAGCCTGCCAAGAGCTAAAAATATTTCCCAACAAAGAGAGAGGTAAGGAGGCTCCCAAGAAGAATCAATTTATTGGGGAGTCGGTGCGGCTGGTCAGACCCCGTAAAGAGGAGGGGACTGGGAGCCCGAGGAAAGAAGGGGGCGGGTGTCTTTAGTCACGCTGGACACTGGGACCTTGAAAGTGGGGAAAATGAGGGTTCCAGGAGGGGGCTTACAGATCTAACTCCAGTACCCCACCCTCTGCAGGAGGCGCTGGAGCTGGCCCAAGAGATGGTGGCAGGCTCAAGGGCTGGTTTGGGGATCTGGTCTGGAGGCTCAGATGGCTTCATCAGGGGCCGGCAGGCGCTGGCGGGAAGGCTCCACACCCCAGATCTCCCGGGCATACTGGGCGATGGTGCGGTCGCTGGAGAACTTGCCAGAGGTGGCTATGTTCCGGATCACCATCCGCGTCCACTCCCTTGGGTTCTGCAGGTCAAAGGGAAGCTCTGGTTCACTCTGCCGGCAGGACCTCCACCTTCTGCCTCATCCCAACCAGGGCCACCAAAGCCCCGACAAGCCGTGGCCCAGGATCCCTCACCTTGTACAAGGCACTGACTTTCTCCTGGCATTTAATGTAGTCTTCATAATCTGCAAAGACTTTAAACCTGGAGGAGAAAGGATAGGCATGTGCTATCCCCTTTAAGGAGCTAGGGTAAGTTCTATGAGGTCAAGGGCCAAGCCTGTCCTGTCCCAGTGGACAGCCAGCGACCTGGAGGGTCATGCGGCTTCCAAAGGTGCTTCATTCCAACTGCCGGGACCCCTGTCCACTTCCCCACCACACACCTGAGCCTCGATCTGCCCAACAGCCCCACCTGTGTGGTTCCCGGACCGGCCAGCTCACCGGTCATGGTGCATGAGCATATTGACAATGTCCTTGAACAGGTCGGGCTGTTTGGGGGAGAAGAAGCCACTGCTCAGCTGCTCAATGATCTGCCGAAGCTCAGGAATGCGGTCGTAGTACTCCTGGGCATTGTACCTGCCGGGACAGAGCTGAGGTCAGCTCCTCAGAAAGGGGTCCTGGCTCCTCCTCCAGAGAAAAGCTGAGAAGTCCCAAGCCCCAGGGTCACAACTCAGGCCCAGCCTGCTGCTCCCTGGGGCTGCCACACCCACTCTAGAGGGCCCCTCTGCAGCAGGCCCCCTTCTCTGCTTCTCTGCTCAGCTTTTTTTTTTTTTTTTTTTTGAGACAGAGTTTTGCTCAAACTGTTGCCCAGGCTGCAGTGCACTGGCACAATCTTGGCTCACCGCAACCTCTGCCTCCCAGGTTCAAGCAATTCTGCCTCAGCCTCCCAAATAGCTGGGATTACAGGTGCACGCCACCATGCCCGCTAATTTTTTGTACTTTTAGTAGAGACAGGGTTTCTCCATGTTGGTTAGGCTGGTCTGGTTCTCCTGACCTTCAGATGATCCACCCGCCTCAGCCTCCCAAAGTGCTGGGATTACAGGCATGAGCCACAGTGCTCGGCCTCTGCTCAGCTTTTCATCCCTCCTTTGTGAATGAGGAAACTGAGGCCCGGAGGAGACACAAAGCTAAGTGTTAGCGCCAGGGCCCCCGAACAAGTGCTTTTCCTCCCAGCCGCCACTGCTGTCTCCACACCGGTTTGTTTTCTCCTCCAGTAGCCCAAGTCCACATCTGGCCTTGCCCTCAGGCTGCAAGAGCAGCTAATAAGGACAGCCCTTCAACTGACCCTCAGCGCCCCCACCACAGCTCAAAGCCCTCTACAGGCCAGTCTCAAACCCTAACCCTTCCAACCAGAAGCCAGTGCTACCCCACGAAGCCTCTGATCCCCATCCCCTCATGTGACACTCAGGTGACTCTCCTTGCATGACGGTGTCAGCCCCCACAGTGGCCCCCACCTGCCCCCTCCAACACAGTCTCCATCCTGCAGCCAGAGTGTTCTTCCAAGGGCCTAGTTCTGGGCATGCCAGGCCCGTGCTCACATCTCACAGCTCCTTCCTGCCCAGGGGACAGTCAGCTTTCTAGGCAAGCCTCACAGGAGAAACTCCTTTCAGTGTTTAATGCCAACTCTAGGAAGCTGTTGTGGGAGTGTAAACTGGGAGAAACTTTCTGGAAAGCAGCTTGGCAATCTGTGTCAAGAGCCTTAGGAACTCATCCTTTTTTTTTTTTTTTTTTTTTTTTTTTTTGAGACGGAGTTTCACTCTTGTTACCCAGGCTGGAGTGCAATGGCGCGATCTCGGCTCACCGCAACCTCCGCCTCCTGGGTTCAGGCAATTCTCCTGCCTCAGCCTCCTGAGTAGCTGGGATTACAGGCACGCGCCACCATTCCCAGCTAATGTTTTGTGTTTTTAGTAGAGACGGGGTTTCACCATGTTGACCAGGATGGTCTCGATCTCTCGACCTCGTGATCCACCCGCCTCAGCCTCCCAAAGTGCTGGGATTACAAGCTTGAGCCACTGCGCCCGGCCAGGAACTCATCCTTTTTAACTCAGAAGTATCTCCCTTCCAATAATTATCTTAAGGAAATCATCAGATGTGGATGTAGATGTTAAAACGTTGCTCATCACAGTAATATTCAACAACCCGGACATCAACGTAAATGTCCAGCCATATGGAATTGATTAAATAAGTTGTGACATGCTCATAGGATGGAATCTTATACAAACATTTAAAATATTTTTGAAAACTGATGACATGGAAAATCTCTCTCCAATGTTATGATATCAGGATTCGGCCGGGTGTGGTGGCTCAAACCTGTAATCCCAGCACTTTGGGAGGCCGAGGCGGGTGGATCACGAGGTCAAGAGATGGAGACCATTCTGGTCAACATGGTGAAACCCCGTCTCTACTAAAAATACAAAAAAATCAGCTGGGCATGGTGGTGCGTGCCTGTAATCCCAGCTACTCAGGAGGCTGAGGCTGAAGAATTGCCTGAACCCAGGAGGCAGAGGTTGCGGTGAGCCGAGATCGCGCCATTGCACTCCAGCCTGGGTAACAAGAGTGAAACTCCGTCTCAAAAAAAAAAAAAAAAAGATATCAGGATTCAAGCTGGGTGTGGTGGCTCACGCCTATACTCCCAGCACTTTGGGAGGCCAAGGCAGATGGATCGCCTGAGATCAGGAGTTCAAGACCAGCCTGGCCAATATTGTGAAACCCTGTCTCTACTAAAAATACAAAAAAGTAGCTGGGCATGGTGGCAGGTGCCTGTAATCCCAGCTACTCAGGAGGCTGAGGCAGGAGAATCGCTTGAACCCAGGAGGCGGACGTTGGAATGAGCCGAGATAGCACCATTTTACTCCAGCCTGGGCAGCAAGAGCGAAACTCCATCTCAAAAAAAAAAAAAAAGTATCAGAGTTAAAAATTGTACATACAGCCAGGCACAGTGGCTCGAGCCTACAATCCCAGCATTTGGGAGGCTGTGGTGGGTGGATCACTTGAGCTAAGGAGTTCAAGGCTATGGTGAAACCCTGTAATGTCTTTACTAAAAATACAAAAATTAGCTGAATGTGGTGGCACATGCCTATAATCTCAACTACTCAGGAGGCTGAGGCAGGAGAATCACTTGAACCTGGGAGGCAGAGGTTGCACTGAGCTGAAATCGCACCACTGCACTCCAGCCTGGGGGACAGAACAAAACTCTGTCTCCAAAAAAAAAAAAAAAAAAAAAAAAAAAAAACTGGCTGGCCACAGTGGCTCATGCCTGTAATCCCAGCACTTTGGGAGGCTGAGGTGGGTGGATCACTTGAGGTCAGGAGGTCGAGACCAAACTGGCCAACATGGCAAAACCCCGTCTCTACTAAAAATACAGAAAGTAGGCCAGGCATGGTGGCTCACGCCTGTAATCTCAGCACTTTGGGAAGCCGAGGCGAGTGGATTACCAGGAGTTCAAGACCAGCCTGGCCAACAAGGTGAAACCCCCCTCTCAACTAAAAACACAAAAAATTAGCTGGGCGTGGTGGCAGGCGCCTGTCATCCCAGCTACTCAGGAGGCTGAGGCAGGAGACTCACTTGAACCAGTGAGCCAAGCTCACACCATTGCCCTCCAGCCTGAGCAACAAGAGCGAAACTCCATCTCTAAGAAAACCACAAAAAGGCCGGGCGCGGTGGCTCACACCTGTAATCCCAGCACTTTGGGAGGCCGAGGCGGGTGGATCACGAGGTCAAAAGATCACCTATAATCCCAGCACTTTGGGAGGCCGAGGCGGGTGGATCACGAGGTCAAGAGATCGAGACCATCCTGGTCAACATGGTGAAACCCCGTCTCTATTAACAATACAAAAATTAGCTGGGCATGGTGGCGCACGCCTGTAGTCCCAGCTACTAAGGAGGCTGAGGCAGGAGAATTGCTTGAACCCAGGAGGCGGAGGTTGCGGTGAGCCGAGATCGCACCATTGCACTCCAGCCTGGGTAACAAGAGCGAAACCCTGTCTCAAAAAAAAAAAAAAAAGAAAAGAAAACCACAAAAAGTAGCCAGGTGTTGGTGGCACATGCCTATAATTCCAGCTATTTGAGAGGCTGAGACAGAAGAATGACTTGGGCTCGGGAGGTAGAGGTTGCAGTAAGCCAAGATTGTGCCACTGCACTCCAGCTTGGGTGACAAAGCAAGACTCCATCTCAAAAAATAAAAATAAACAAATAAATTGTACATATATTATCCCCAGCTTTTAAGAACTGTGTATATTACATGTTTGTTTTTTGTCTTTTACTCTGTGCATATGCCTATCCGATGAGAGAGATGTTTATACAAATAAAC